TCAAGTATATTTAAATGTAAACTAACGACTTTCTCCACTAAATATGTGTTTCTTGCATGAATGGGGTCTGTTTTCCCCCTCCATCTATGTTTTTTCAAGTTTGTTAATAGATAATATACTGTTTGTTAAAGATTGTGGTACTATGAGAATCAGGAACGATTATCTCAACCATGGTCTATTTTTCATAAAGGAACAACTTTCAGAATAAAGAATATTGGAAAGACTTAAGAGATCATGGATGCATCAAATGCATGTCCAACAGAAGACACACTTTGTGCATTATTAGAATACTTGGTTGATCCCTTGCTGCCGGTGAAATCCTCTCTGAGGCATACTCCATCTATTTCTCAACAAGAATCAGTTGCAAAACAGGTTCTTCTCCTTAGTGTACACTGAACCATATTAAATTTCATTCTGTCCATAATTGCTGTTGTGGATACTTTTTGCTTGAAGTAGTTATATTTTTGGATATGTTAACAAAGAAAATCTAAGTTTCTTGTTATGAAATTTCCATTTGTATTTTTATGATTCCAGTTGTATTGGTTGTGGGATTCTGTTTGATTGAAACAGATTACGAGATTTTTAATAAAAATAATCTATAACTGTACACCGGTTACGTTTCTGTAATTCTCAGCTGAGAAATAACTTTTGTAGATGCATCCACGTTGACATGATTGAAACTTAAATAGTTATTTTTGTCCTTTAATTATTGCTTTTGCTGTCAATATCCTCCAGGTACACGCTGCCGTGTTGCTATATAATTATTACCACCGGAGAGAATATCCGCATTTGGAATATCTGGATTTTGAGTCATTTTGCAAGTTAGCAGGGATTTTAAAACCAAGTTTGTTATCGTATATGAAGTTCATGCTTAGATCCATCGGTCCTGTGTTTGATGAACCTGAAAAGCAGCTATCAGTAATGGAGCAAACGGTCATGGATGCGTGTAATATATGCACAAGTTTAGAGGGGTTAAAAGATATTCGAAGCATAGAGGGATGGCCAATTTCAAAAGTTACAGTTTTTCTAGTTGACTCAAAGAAGGAGAATTGCTATTTGCAGTTTGGTACTATCACTCTGGGAATATGGAGTCTCATTGAAGAGGATACTTATGTGTTTGATTCCAACTCAGAAGCTAAATTGGATGGAACACATATTAACAAAAAGAAAAGAATCAGTACAAAATCTGTGAGAGATGAATTGGTTGCTAACGAGGATGCCTTTCAGCAGCTTGCATTTTTAGCAATCAAGAAAGCAACAGGTTGCTGTCCTACCAGTATCTTTCTTGTCTATAGGTGAATAAAGTTATAAACCATACGAAATTTACATCAATCTAATGCTCTTTTATTGCACAAGCATAAATGGTCTTTTATGCTGTGTGATAAAAGTTGTGAATACTAGTGATAAAATTTGTTAGGAGTTTACCCTTTAAAGCTTTGTGGTTGTGAATTTCAATGTACTTGGCTTCCAGGGTTTGCTTTAATAACTTAAAGCTAGAATTTTTGCTAATTGAAGAGACTGTTATCTAGGGTGATGTTTTGGTCTTTGTTTTGCTTTATGTTTTACTAGTTCTAAATGGTACTTTTGTTTCAAGAGTGCCTTGTAATTATTTACTATTTTACAATTTTTTTCTTGTTCTGTGGTGTGAGCTTCTATGGTGGAATGGCTTTTAGAATAATTATAAATTTTCTGATTCTAGTTTTGTGTTTCTTGTTGGGCTTGGTTTTTGTAAATGGAATAGGAATTGATCGAAATGATCTTATCATAATGGAGGGCCATGTTGTATACTCTCTAAGTAAAGAAAAGACAGCTGTTCGCTTTTACATTATGCAGTACATCCCACGAAAGAATGATGAGCGTATTCAAATTCCCATCACAGATGCTATTCACAGGTTTGTTTACAGCTAGAAGTGATATTTCCCTCCTCCCTCTCCCACTTGCTAATTCACTGAACTCAATCAGCTTGACAGAGTCCATATGTAAACTGCTTAGCAGAAATGGGACACATTTGGAGCCTAAAATTTAGGTAGTTTCTGAAGATCCAGAAAAAAAATCACGTTTTAGATCTTCTGCAATTATATTGGGAAGCCAACTTAAGATCACCATTTGAGATTGTTAGTTAAATGGCTACCAACCTCACATGCATGTTGGATTCGCATAGATTTTTTGTTTTTTTTCATACTAATGGATGATGAAGAGGAAAACTGCCCGTGTGAGTTAACTTGCAAATAGTAAGTGCTTATTAGGTTGAGTATTTTTGTGATATTGAGTTTGACTATCCTATTAGCCTCTTAGTTCAGAGTTATTGCATATTAGGTTGCTTATAATTTTTTCTTTTTCAAGTGGATATTGGGTTGTTCTTAAATAGTTTTAAGCATTATGTTCAAAATTTACCTATTGGTATTGCATGCTGAGGGCACTTATTAACTGCTAAGTAAATAAAAAAATAAGTATCTCTTCCCAAATTTTTTCAGTATTGACATCGAATATTTATTTTCTTAATATTTTCTTTGTGTATTTACTCTCATATATTTATTTTCTTTGCAAAGGAGCACCATAAATACTTATTTTTCACAATAAGCATTTTTTTGGGTTCTTAAAAGGCATTTCTTTCTGAACATGTAAGTAGTTGTCTTTCTGAGTTTGCACCTAGGGTTTTATTTACTGCTTTAAGCATATTTTGTTCAGCAATCTCAAACTCCCTAATTTTTTTTTTTTTTGTGTCCTTTCACTAGATTTCTTGTGTGATTAAATTATCCTGGACAAGATTATTATTCATCAAGTAAAAATAGTCAGACACAGAATATTTACGAGTTTGTTGTGTGTTTTCTCTATCCCCTAGAAATGTACTACACCATGGCAGTTAATATTAAAAAACAATTTTTTTTCTTGTTGGTTAGTCACCATGCAGAACATCTGTCACTGCTCCAGGTATAACCTTAGGCTAGAATATTTATGTGTCGTCTTGATAACGGAAACTAAGCACATTTGAAACTATATGGGGTGTACTACCACTGTGATATTGATGAATAGTAGGAAATCATAAACTAATTTATTTTTTTGACCTCTGGAATTGCTGTCTTTATATCCTTATATTTTTGGTGGGATGGAGGGACACTGTAGTATTGCGAGTATGGAATCTTTTGCTTTGTTATGGTCATATTGAAAAACTAAGTGAAATGTTTGCATCATGGTGAGAATCAAATCCTTTTGGACCATCTTTGCCATGATAACTAGGGTTAGCTCACTTGTTTTGATGGTTCTTCTTTTTCAGTGAGTTTGCTTTTGATTGGTATAAAGCTGAACCTGAATGGAAGTAGAACTGAAGGTCAGGACTCCTAGCCTGATAGGAAAAGAGGGGAGAAAAAAAGAGGATACACACTTGAGAAATAAGATGATTCGGGCTAACTGAGAAAGTGACATAGAGAAAGTAAAAGGAGGCTGTGAGAAGCAACAGGCTGGGGGAAAAGAGGAACCAGAAGGAAGGCGCTGAGACTTACCCATTTAGGGATTTCCAACGAAGGTCTCCTAGGGCGAAGGTTCATGAGTTTTAAGAGTGCCTCTTTAGCTATTTTGCCAAGAGGTTAAGTAGATGCCTTTTGTAT